GGTTTATAATGGGGGTTTACAATGACTTTTGGCTTTTGGCCAACAGGATGCTGGTAGAAACTGTGATACTGATGGCCAAACCATAAAAGAAGTGGCAAAAGTGGTAGGTAGGGGTATTTGAAGTCAGCAAGAGAGAAGCAAAGATAGGGGTATGAAGGTGAGACTTTAAATATAGGGACTATATGCAAACGAAGAGAGCAGTTTAATACAATGTAAAGAGAGAGTAAAGGAGAAAATTGGAGGACAGATGATTCTGGATTCAGTGAAAAGGTGTTGAACACTTATTTTTGGAAGACTGTAAAGTAGTGTCAGGGAGGAGCGCAGCTAGGAATAATAATAATAATAATTTATATAGCGCTTTTAAAGGAACCCAAAGCGCTTTTACAATTCCACTATTCATTCACTCTCACATTCACACACACTGACTACCAAGCATTGCATGGTAGTCTGTTGGATGACTCTGGAGGTCAAGTAGAGAAAGTGAGTGAAAACAGAGGCAAGGATCACACGGTGGAAGCTGAAGAAGGAAAAAATGTGCAGAATTCAGGGTGGAATTAAGACAGGCTCTGGGCTCAAGATTCAAAATGTTTATTGTACAAAGAAAAGCATTTCTCTGTACAATGAAATTCAGCAAAGAGAGAGGTGGCAAAAGAAAAAGGTTTATAGTTGAGCTGAGTGTGAAGCTGGAGACCAAGAACAGCTAGTGAATCTGGAAGTGCATCGGATTATTGTGAAAAGAACTTAAGTCAGCAGAACATGTGCGTGAATGGAGAGTAACAGTGAATATGCAGGGAGCAGAGATACAGAAGGTAAATTCTTTTAAATATCTGGGGTCAACCATCCAAAGCAACAGACAGTGCACAAGAGAGATGAAGCAGAGAGTGCAGGGAGAGAGGTTCGAGTGTGTGGAGACGAGCGTCACGGGTGATTTGAAATGAGTACATCAGAGTTGCAGCTCAGATTAAGTGGCGTGCAGACAAAGAGAGGCAAGGCTGAGATAGTTTGGACATGTGCAGAGCAGGAATAGTGGACATACTGGACAAAGGATGCTGAAGATGGAGCTGTCAGGTAGGAGGAAAAGCAGAAGACCACAGAGGTGGTGCACGGATGTAGTGAAGGAGGACATGCAGATGGTTGGTATAACAGAGGATGATGCTACAGATTAAAGGAAGCACTTCTTTAAGATAGCTTCTTACTAAAGATTAGTGGAATACATACATAGGTAGAGTCCATCATTTCACTTTTAGCTTAGATGTTCAAGTTTCTAATTATTTTCCTCATAGAAGTGCACAGAAAAGAAAACAGAGTAATATCAGAATGACACAACAGCCACAAAAGCACAAATCCAAAAATCAGAAACAGATATCCAAGCTGACCTCACCTGATGCCACACGCACATAAAGCTGACCGTGTTTACTTCCATATGTGTTAGATGCTTCACACTGATAGAGGCCATTTAGATCAGAGGTCAAGCTCAGCAGTTGTAGCTTTGCACCGTCTACTTTGACAACAGACTGCAGCAATGACTGGCCAGATCTGGAAAAACATGAATGAGACTCAACATGAAATGTACAGAAAGAGCAGAAAAGTGTGAGTTGTGCTAAAAGTCAAACACATTTTGGTTATCAGCTCTTTGCAATAGATCTTTTCTTGCCCACAACAAGATTTTGTATTTTTT